AGGACATGAAATAGCGCTTTCATCAAATAGAAGATAAAAAGCTTCCGGATAAATACTCGCGCAATACTTTTAATGAGTTATCACTTATAGAATAGCAAAAAAAAACTTAATTTTACCGCAAAGAGGATTGATCCGCGTTTTACCTCTGAATATCGTGAATATAATGTAATGAAATTCGATGAGGCATCTCTTATCTTACACGCGCTCCTCCGACAGCTTCTATCCCTTAATCAGCGCATCCCTATACCGAAATTGGAAGTGGACAGAAAATTATTCGATCGCAGCCTGGGCGGCCGCGCATGGCGGATGCGGCCATGCTTTCCATCCCTCTTTCCCCCCTCGTGATTCCAGTCCACGCACAAATCCACGCACTACGCGCCGCCCGCGCACGTGGCAGATGTTCAGTTTTATGCGCTCACGCATGCGTTCCTATCGAGAGGTCCCCACCAATCCCACAATTTCGCTGTCCCTCTACAACCCATCGTATCGATATACAGCTCGTTCCCTCGATTCATCGAAATATTGAGGAAATTGCGTTGCCTTTTGTATCACGAGATAAATGCTTCTTTGTTCGAGCACGACGCAAAATATTCACGGACTTCGTATTCAATTCTGTTTTAAGATGCAAGTTTACATTACTGTCGACTATATCACGTTCAAAAATAAGCACAAATGTTAATCTGATAATACGCTTTTAAATATTCTCTGTAATCAAAATAAAAAGATTTTTAATTTGAAAAATGATGTAGAAAATATTGTACGTTGTATACTAAAACAAAATTCTTTATAATACACCGGTTCGAGATAGCTTGCTTTGTATATTTTGTAGCTGAATATACATGAATTTTTGATTGGTTGGCTTTAATTAATAATTGTTAAAATGTAAATATAAAAGTAACATGAAATATATTAAAACAAATTACTTCTAAAATAATACGATATGTACTGCAACAAATTACTATTAATCGTGAATTATGCACTGAGAAAAAAATGTTGATTTAAAAAAATATTATTTCATTCAACTAAATGCGGCGGTCATGGGCTGTCAAGCAAACATTTGTTAATCTAAAAAATATCATGTTAATGATGTATCATGTTATTGATATATGTTTAATTCAAAAACATATATAATTGAATCAAAGAAAAACTGTCAACAAAACGCATTTAGTTATTTTAACAACTTCTTTTTCTCAGTGTGCAACATAGTATTAGAATGACAAAGCGTTTGCAATGCTTATGACTTAAACAACAACGATAATAACCCATTTCCAATATAAAATTGGCAGAACCGTTTAGCTATATAATCGCATGATATTCTCTATATATAAAACAGCCAAATTATCACCTATTTAAAACGAAATCAAATCTAATTGTAATCCTTTTATAAACAATATCACGTTTCTTAATGTGGTGATATCAATACTACCATTGCTAATTTATTTCAAGAAATATAAAAAAAAAACTTCGTCAATTTTTCGTTAGTTGAAAAGCCAATCCTTTCTCAAGCATTATAGTTTTTCATTTTTTGATTCTTTGCGCAATATCTGATGAACGCGACCGATCAACAAATTGTTTCGGATTTTATAGAGTTTCTGCGCGATAATCTCGTACAATTTATTCTCATCCAGTCGTATAGCCGCAGTCGCAGATAATGTCGCGAGCATACCTAAGAAGGCGGAGTTGTCGGGACTGAACGCCCATTACACGACTTGAATCTCACGAGGCGTAACGAAAACCGATCTCTCGGCTCGAGACGTCGATCTCGATAAAGGTTATTCAGTATCGAAGGTGCTAATAGTCGGCAACGCGATTATATTCGAACCTTTCCGCTCGCATAGACGCGTATCGTAATAATAAATATAAAAGTATCACGAGCACAGACCGGTCGGGGTTACGCTTATTCCAGTCGATCATCGATCGCGAACACTTATGCTATTAAGATCTATAATATGTCTGCGATAATAGTTCCGGCGACGTTCGGAATAACCGTTTCACCTTGGGCCGAACCGCACGTGGTGCCCAGAGTATATTTTCGATAATTGTGCAACGAACGGTCGAATAAAACGCATTACACGGTCCTATATACATTTAGTGCAAACACACTCACGGTACGTTGAACGAAACGACCGACGTGGCGCTTCTAACGCGCTCGCACTCGAGACAATGGGATGATAATTTATTCCATGGATGTAAATTATTTTACATGCGAGCCATGCGATCCATCATGCTTCGTCAAATTGGTACAAGCACCTTGCGCCGCGGCGGTAACGTAATATGCTGCCGCCTTTCATCCATTCCTCTTTTCTTTTCATTTCGAACTAGCAACCTCGCGCGCGCGGATATCGCGATTGGCACGAAATTCGTTTTGTGAATATATAATGGTTTTTCATGCAAATACCAATGCAGCTTGCGTTATAAGCTAGAAATTTTTTAAATTCAACTTTATAATACATTCAAAACCGATTTCTCTTCATAGAAAAAATAACAAAAATAGTACTTCTCCGCAGCTCTATATAATATTTAACAATAAATATTCCTAGCTTCGAATATTAAACTCTAAATTAAATTCATATTGAAACAAAATTACGTAATATGAATGAGGAGCGAGACTTTCTTACTTATTAAATTCGCCATGGAAAAAAGCCACGAAACCGAAAATATATAGAATATTCTAAATTATCAAAAGAGAAGCAGTAACACGCGCCATGCGTTAACTATATTTTACATATTTTTTTCTAGATATATATATTGAAACAAATAAATTAATATATAATAACACATATATTATAGTTGTAACGGAGAGTTAGTTGCAAAAAACTTTTCCGCATAAATGTACGAGCTTTACGACCTGCACCGCAATTCGCATCGACTGTTTTAAATTTAGCTTTAGAATTAATTTCTATAGTCATCAGCTCGCCATTTCTATTTCAACGCACGCATCACGCAGCTCTCTTGCTTTATGTTACGTTGGACCACCATTTTCTCCTATCAAGCCCTACGGAATAAGGATGATGGAAGAATTTCTTATGTATTAGTCTAGTAACTCATTAATCATACACGCCATGCGCCGAATATCTCGATTGATCGACGACGAGATAACCGCGTAATGAGCTCTGCTGCTCTTCTTGGTCCATTCTCTGCTCAAAAAGTTATTACCGCACCGTCCGATTAATTCATATCGTCGTCGTAAACGAAGGAATACAAATCATAGCGCTTTCTTGATGGGCTAGTATTAGTTTTTCAATATTATTTTTGAAATGCGGACAAACAACATATCGTACTACGGCTGAAAAAAAAAATTAAAAAAGACACAGCATAGCTACAGCGCATGTACATACAATCTCCTTTCTCTTTAAATATTAATAAAAATGTAAGAAGATAATGGGAGTAATTTCGAATTTGTTTTATTACCAAAATATCTAATGTCAGATATTTTTCCAAGTTCCACAAAAGGCAACGTTCGATAAAATTTATCCTGATTCTCAAGATATTCCCAAAATGTCAATCGTTTTAAGACAATCCTCACCGTCACATACGAGTTGGACCTTGATATATGATTTCTAAAGAGAATTTAACAAGCGAGCCCTTCGTCAATCGTTGATAGCACGCTCGACGTAGAGTGTCTCGTAGCTAGGCGTATATTCTGTCGGGCGCAAAGTAATTAAATGCAGAGAAAGAGAGAATGAGAGAGAGAGAGAGAGAGAGAGAGAGAAGAGAGGAGAGGGAGTGAGAAAGAGAAAGGAGGGGAACCGAACCCGACAGAAGGGCTGGACAGACTGGTGGGGTTGGAAAGGCGAGGTAGGGAGGAAGGTAGCGAGGGCGTTCCTGAAGCCACTCCCCAGCCTCGAGTCCTCCGGAACTGGAACCTGCCTGCTTGGAAACCCGTAGTTATATACCTGAACAAAGTGCACCTTGGCATGCAGGTAGACGCCGCAGCGCGTTGCATGCGCCGCTCGTTACAGTCTCCTTCCATCTCTCTCTCGCTCCCGACACTCGCGCGAGTGTCCTCGACATTCTCCCACATGCAGTTCGTGTCGCATAACATTTCTCGCAGCTAACGTACTTATCTCCCTTTTTATTATGCGACAGAAAGCGCGCGGCAAGAATGCCAAAGAAACGACCAAAAAAAAAGGGAATCGAGATGCAGCCCGGTCTATTAACGCGTTCGCTAGCGACTGTTATATATATATGTGATGTACATTTTCCATTTGCACAATAATTCTATTAATCTTACATTGCGTCTGGGTCTCCATTTTCAGGCGGATCAATTATTTAATTGCATAAACATAAATCTTCAAGCAAGACTTTAATTAATCGTTACTTATACGAGAAATTGTAATAGTCAATTTAATTGCTCCAGTATTGTTGATTAAGTGTCGCTATTAAAAGTCATACAATTTTTACAATGTAATTAAATTCTTTATAACTTGGCACTTAACGCGTTTGAGACCGTACGTCTTCAATTATGTTTTTTTTTTTTCGTGATGCACAGCGACGAGATATTTCACGGTATACGGTATATTTCCAAAGGAATGGCCAGCGAAGTGCATTCGGTCGGCGTGTTTATGCTAATTAGCCGCGCAAAGGTGCGGCCAGGTGCGGCAGGCTCGGACTATAGTGAATGTTCGGATTGGCTCTCACAAATTGCCGCGTTAATTCGATACGCTTCCGACGTAAAGAGCCGCGCGAGCGCCAGATGTATTTAGCTGTTCTTGCCGGCACACGGACCAACGTGAAACATGCACAGCATGTGCGCCGACCGACTCTTTAATTGGTATCCGAAAACGGGATTTTGATCATCTCCGATAAAGGCATAGTGAGAGATAAAAAATACGATCAATACGCTGCTGGGCGAAATAAAAGGAATGCTCGTAGAATAATTTCGATTATATAATAGATCGATTAACATCATCTTTAATAGATCGACCTTTTCTTTATTTTCTTTTTTTACTAAAGTGTCACGTAAATATGGGACGGATAAACAATGTAAATAAGCTTACCAGTTTCGAGATCTACGGTGTAAGGGAGTCCTGCCCATGGATCGTCTTCCTGTGGCTCGGACTCCTTGGCATCGTCCTAAAAATAACGACAGGTCCAATCGAACAAAAAGATCTTCAATCACGGATAACATAATATTTCTGTAATCATTATCAAAAGAGAGATAAAGTCACGCGCAAAAGTAAAGATCGTCTCGCGAGACGAAGAATGTTGCAATAAACGTGACTCTCGTTATCAAAAGTAAAGTTTATCTAGTGCATTAATTATAATTAATCAATTAATAAACTGTAACGAGGCGCCAGTAAATTAGCTAGAAAATTAGATTGAAAGAGTAGCGCGCTGTAATGAGCGCTGACCGTAATTAACGACGTTCTCGCATCTGAGAGGTGTCAAGCTGAGGTGAAGGACCGGCCGGACTCTCGTGAAGCATGGCTCTCGAAGAGAGATGTGATCGGTGTGTACCCGGTGCTCGATCACAAAACGTAATTTCAACAAAGATGATTACGAATCCGTGGAGCTGACGAATTCGAGATGAAGCTCGCGCAACAATGGCCGAATTCAGTCGAGCGAGCTATTCGAATCGGCCAAGGTCGAGCCTTATGGAGACGTCATAATCAAGCGACCCTACGCGCCGACATGAAAAAGGGCCCAAGGGCGGGCGTATGCCCCGGGCCATAGGTCGCCTGTAGCGCGGCGGTACATGCGAGCTGCAGTGAAATGAGTTTAATGAAAACAGTATTGTACTCGATCATTAATCATAGCGAGTCCCTGATAGCGGCCATCCACAACCACCGATTCTCTCTCTCTCTCTATCTCCTTCCCTTCCCCTCTTCGCCAAAATCTGCCTCTCTTTTTCTCTTTCTTCCCTCGCCGGTCTCCCATGCCATCCTCTTTCGAATCTTTCATCCCCCTCTGCCTACGCTCCGGTCACTTTTTCATTCGACGATGTGATGTATCGTTGTTGAGTGGTGCGTTACGCTGAGCTCTACGGAGTTATGAATACGAAATTCAATCCATCCTAGCGTCCTAAAATCGAACTCATACGAAACAAAAACGAGCACTTTTCTATTCGAAATATTATGCATTTTATAAAACATCCTTTTTTCTGATTAATAACAGATATTGCGCAGCAATATTGTAATTTTTTTCCTTAATGTAATATCTTCTCTGGCATCTAAGCTTGCAAGGACACATCTTGCGTTTAATAAAACCTGAAAAATCCTCTGCTTAAAACGTTTCTGCATCCCAAAGGCGGTGCCTAAAATATTTTTGAAGAGTCACGAACGCGTATAGCCGTGTGCCTTATTTTGGGCCCACAACGTCATCTCTTTCGACTCTCGAAGGAAACGTCGGTCCCGCTCGACGACGCAACCCTCGATGCGACAATGGAGGTCCTGTCAGCGATACGGACTTGCATGGCTGGCATAGCTCTCAATTAACGTTTACGAACTGTTACGACTGTCTGCCCCGATCAACCGCCTTACAAGGACCAGCGCGGATAGAAAGCATAATTCAAATCAGCCTTGATCGGCCGCGAGTAAATATACGAATTCAATATGGTATCGCGGTCGCCGAAGATATGGCGCGAGTCACGCTGCCTCGAATCGTATGTAACTTGCGACACGTTTCACATTTTGTGACTCGCCTTTCTGGATTTAACTTGACGGCTAAAGTGTCTCGAATAAAATTGTTAATGTTTAATAATATTTCCCTCAATAATAACTTAAACAATTTCATAGAGGAAAATATACAATATCGTGTATTGTGCTGGTTATAAAAATGTAATAAAAGAAGTAGATACTAACATATAAATACCTCCAAGGAAAAAAAGTAAGATAAGTATGTTGCCAAAAAAATAACTCCGGAAGTTAGATATTAAAAACACGATAACCTAGATCATTGATATCACCGCACGAGCGCCATTTTGCCCCGAAATTCTAGCCGACGGAAACAATCGGGACAAGAGAAGGAAGCCAAACCCACTTCGGCTGGCCGGGCGCGTTTTCAATTTCCAGGACCATCAATACGTCCCTCGGAATACCCCTCCCCCAGAGTGCTCCAATCTCTCTGGCTCGCGAAGTCCCCTCTCTCTTTATCCATCCGGCTCTCCTTCTCTCTCACAAGAAACGCGGATCGACATCGTTCTTTCTCTCTCTCCCCCTCTCGTTCTTTTTGACCCCGTCTCTCTCTTCCACTCCGATAGGTCCGTCGATGGCGCCCTTCGTACCGAGGGGGATGCTGCGTACATCTATCATTTTACCAGACCCCGCCGGCTTCACGGATACATCGCAGGAACAAATGAACGCTAGCCATTTTGATGGTTTTATGAATATACTCGGCGAGGATGGAGGATGGGGCGAGAGGATCTGTTGTTTTCGTCGAGATCCTCCTTCGCATGGATCCGACCCTCTTCTCACCGCGTTCTCGTTTCTCCCGACGAGCCATCGTCTTCAGGGAGGCTCCTGGCACCGAGACGGAGTCGCCCTAATGGAGCCCCGTCGCCTAGGAGAACTCGCTTCATTTGAATCGCGTCGATGAATTAAAAATTCACGTCAGTCACGACAGCTCGAGAAAGCGATCTCCTGCGATCGGGAATAAGGTGCCTTGCAGCGATTCATCTTGCAGCGATACGCATCCGCGTTGAAACAGCTCGGCGAAGCGAGCGGTGCTGTAAGCGGAAATTGATCGGGCTTTGTATCGTGTTTGTTGCAGGCGTCTCCGCTCAATAATTACGAATCATCGCGGACTGATGAAACGCGCAACGATACATGCGATCTAGTGATACGAGACGACGTATCGAGAGCATCTCCATGCATATAAGGCGAATGTCGATCAAGATATCAAGCTGAATATTTATACAGAAACATCGATACGACCTTTTTCTGCTGTTGGTTTTTCTAAATAGAATCGACGGATCTTGTATTTTTAATTAATATCAATAATCTTTTTGCATAGACAGACATCAGCCGAGACGTGTACGGAAAATAAATGGACATGTATGCGGGCGGTGGAAGAACCGTGACCACGTCTGCTAAGCATGGAAAAATTTGTTGTCTTCGCGACGAATGCTTTCCATCCTGAATCGCTCGATCGAACTTCCTCTTTCCTACTTTCTAGATTGACGTTCCTCTAAACGCCTCCATAATTCATTCCCGTTTCGCAGCGAGACGGAGTCGCTCTAATGGAGCCTGTCGCCGCGACGTGCACCGATCATTTAAATCTTGGCTCTGGATTAAAAATTTCTGCCAGTCACGGCGGCTTGAGATAATTGTACAACAGAAACATGCAACGTGCTTTACAGCAATTCACTTGCCTAGCGTCTTCCTAGTGACATCAACGTCGTTCTCATATAGTACGACATGTTGACAAATATTCTAACGTAGCAAGATCATTTGTAGTGTTTTCATTGCACTGTTCACCTTAAAGCTGATGTAAGTCTTCGTGAAGTTGTATGTCTCTCACAATTAATCAGTATACGATTTCAATTATTCATAACTGCGAATTATTCATATCTGTCAAAAAAGGAATAATGCAGGTATTTTGTAGGTATAACCAATGTTCTAAATTGAACTCGTCAGAATTATACCAATTTCAAGCTCAAAAAAGGAAGGAATAATACGTGATTCAAGAGGATACGCGTAGCCAAATTGTCTCATTATCGCTTTTGACAGCGCCATGCCGATTTGGAATCGCATTGCCTGCCTTTAGTTAAAACAATTCTGTGGCCAGACGTTGGAACAATGGTTGTCAATAATCTGTCGCAATGCAAGATAGAGAGGGAGAAGACTGGAGGAGACTGGACTCTTCTTTGTTCTCAGCTGTTCGCGGATCGCGTCTCGGATCGATGTGTCGGCTTTCGATCGGGATCGAGGGTCTTCCCCGCGTTATTGGGCTCTCGACGGCGGCGGCGAGCCGCCTCACAAAGATAGAACCCGCTGGAACAATGCGATCTTCGCGGAGGAAGAGGATGCGATGGAGACGAAGCGGCGCATAGCGACGCCGGGAAAGAAATAAAGAAAGAAGGAACGCCGACTACCGAAGGTCGTGAGAAGAAGAGAGAAGCGAGAGAAGAAGCGGACGAAGGGAGGACGAGACAGAGAGAGGGAGACGAAGAACGTCGAGAAGTCTGATGGGCTACCCGCCCAGAACGTCGATGCAGCGTCATTGTCGGTGACCATCGTATGGATGAGATCTCGTAGGCTCGAATCTGCCGGATACTTAAACGCGCCTCGTGTCCATCCACCGAAACGCGCCGAGCGAAGAAAAATCGTCAATACCGAAAAACTTACTTTATACAAGGAGAATCAACTGAGATCTAATCAACTAAAGAGCCTGCATTTTTCATAGCTTCAGATTTACATTTACGATTGAGAAATTAAAATAAATTGATTTATAGTTTGATAATCGAGCTGCGGAATTAAAAGACTCGCTTTTACATTGATGATAAAAGAAGCTATCAGAAAATAAATTGCATAATCGTTTTACGTATAGATGTCAAAGTATAATATTTTATTCGACTTATTTTCAATTATAGATTATTCTAACAATAAGTTTAATAATAATATAGATTCGATTATATAATAAAATAATTCTCCAAATAGAAAATAAAAAAGAGTTATCATTTCTCGATAGTGCGACATAATTCATAATCTCTGTCTCTAATAATAAAATATATTAGCCAATCAATTTTCTACAAATATTAAAAAAAATGTTTAAAAGCTACGAAAGAGACTGCAACATTTCTATTGCTGCAAAGATGTATCTCTTTTGTCGGACATGGATACGAGTATAATACACGTGAGACAAAACTATCTTAGTTTGGATATGCATAGCTTGAGAAAGACAAGATCGATGGTCGATACGAACCGGGCTTGGAATATCGGCCGAGAATCATATCCGTGGGATGATTCCTAATCTCTCTTTGGGTCTACCGAACGTGGCAGCTATGTATTTGGGGTGGCTTAGTGTCTCCAATCGATCGGAGATCGATCATTCACGAGCGATTACGAGCGCAGGAGCCACGTGCTAAAGAATCAGGTTAAGAAAACGTAATACAATTTCTCGAAACAAAAAATGAAATTCGCGAAAGATACGCGATATGTTGACGCGTTTCAGGACGGAGTCCCTCTGAATAAGCTTTATGCGGCAAATATATAAATACGCAAGATAAAGAGATGACAAGGAGATAACCACCCTGAGCACCAAATTCCACGGTTGATCGAGCTATAATAATGTCACATTTGTTTGATGCATTATCGTCGATTTTAAAAATCGATATGAATCTAGCTAGACAGAGTATTTTGATGTTTGTATTCTTAGCGCATCGTTTAGCTAATATTCTTGTTAAAATGTTAAAGTACATTTTTCTTAAATCAACCATCAAATTAATTTTTAATGATACTCAAGAAAAAAGGAAATAAAAATTAAAAATACAGATAATAATCCTGAAATGTTCGCCAACATGTGCATAAATGCCCGGAAGCCAAATCTGGAAGTCTTTTTCTTTTGAAGCGTCACAGGGAATGTCGCTTCCTATTCGCACAATCCAATTGGTCGGCGATTACCGAGAGGCACAACGCAAAATGCGCGACGTCGCGAGGTATTCTTTAACGTACAGGTGCACACGTCCGGAGCTTTCTATCTCCGATAATCGTCCGGGGGACACAGGAAGACATCAATGGGCCCGTTGGCATATGGAGAAACGAACGTTTAAATTGAGTCCGAGGAAGCAAACGCTTCCTTCTAACATACGTGAAAGCAGAAAGCGGCGCATTCTCGAGAGACAATTGCTCGTTAAACGTTGCGATTGGGAACCCGAAACAATTCGAAATCGCGCGATCGCGCGGTGGTTTCGAAAAGAAAACAATGCACAAATGGCGTAAGAGACTAAAGAAAGAAAGTTAAAGCCTTTTTTCGTACCTTCTGATAGGTGGCATTAATAGCTTCTAAAGCTTTCAGCTTCTCGATTTCATCCGCTGACTCTTTTTCGGATGTAGACGGTTTTTTGGTAGGCGACGTAGCCGGTTCCACTAGAGTAAATCCCAGATCCACGTCCTGCTTCCAAAGAACCTCAATCAGATCCATATCCTGAAATCAAGAATGCACGTGATATTATACTGCATAATTCAGCATTGTTCGTACTTGTCGATTTAATTTTATGTCTCCTTTTTATAGCTTCAATAATCGATAGCGAAGCTTCAATAATCGAATTGACACAATAATTTATTATTTCACGCCGTTTTAATTCAACCTGATCCCTTAAAACAAGATGTACGTATTATAACACACTTTCCTCTTTTCATTATCTACTTACACGAAAGAGAGTACATGCGGGTTTCACTTTAAATGCAAATAGACGTGAGTATACGGGTGGAAGTTTCATCTCGTTTTGATATTTAATTCTTTAGTACTCATCTTATCTTTATCCCAAAGAGAGAAATGATATTAAAGGTATGAAATAAATTATGCTTATAACTATTTCTGTTTTGGCTTTAACAAGGAAATTATAATTGTTTCTGTTTTTTTATGGCTATGCCAAGGAAATTATAACTGTTTCTGTTTATTTGACTGTGACTTTAACATATAATACTTTTTTCAAGCATGACAAACTTTTACTTCAGATTGGATATACATATATAGCTGATGATTTTGAAAAAGAGCAGATGACACTTTGAAAAAATATATACTGTATGTGTATAATAGATAATATTGAAGACTTTTGCAGAAGAATTACAATAGTCAATTTTAAAATTAATTTTATTCCTTAACACGCATGTCCATTATTTAATTTTACGATGCGCTCCTAACTACAGCGTTAGCGATTAAAATAAAATTTTTGCGCGAAGTAATCACAATATCGTTACCATCCCTCTAAAAGTCGCACGATTAATGTTCCGATGCTTCCACAACGAAGTTGCCCTGCGCACGCGGCGCTTTCGTTTATGTTTATTTTACATAAGTTAATAACATCTGGCCTCGATCGCCGTTCAGCCCAGTCTCGATCTCCGAGATTCATTTTTGTTGCGTCTCGGATGTCCCTCGCAGGGAGTCCCATCGACGAGTGTGTACAAAAGTGCATGATTAATGATGGTTGAGTATCGATGCATCTCGAAATGGAGGAGATCGAAGAAAGGACCCGGGAGAAGGGACCAATCACATGACGGGGCACAATCCTCGGGGCAGCTGCCCCGTGGGTTTTAATCGAGCCAATTTCGCCGAGTTCGTACTTTGAGCCTCGTTAACCAATCTACGGATTTTCCTCGCCAATCTAAAACCCTCACCGAACTCGCGGCGCTACATGAAATGATTAACATGTTCAGAGGGAAGCCGATATATGCACCAGTTTGCGTAAGTACCGTGGGAAAATCGTTGGTCTTAAAAAATGTCAGTAACAATATTTTTAGCGCGCATGTCATACGTTTTCACGTAGGTATTAATTATTTTTAAGAAAAACAATAAAAACCTCTCTCCTTTCAGATAATAATTTTTCATAGCATATAAGTATCATAATATATGTATAATTATAGAGTTGATATATACTAATAATGTAATGTTAATTTAATATACTTTAATAAATTGTTTATTTTTATTTCTTTATAAGATACTATTATTATATTTACTATCGACATGTTGATAATCTTGAATCCTAACGAAAATGAAGTAGTCAACTGAAATTTGAATTGCAATTTGAGTATGAACAATAATCGCATCTTTATCGAAAATGTACTAGTATTGCCTTTCACGCTCCTTGCTTACTCATCGTTCGCTGTTTCCCCATTTACCGATAAACCAGCGCCGAAGCGTAACGCTCGCTCGAACCGCCATGTTTACGGATTAAGTGACTAGCGGGACATACGCGGAGTTCTGCGCCTTCGGCCGAACGGCAGGCTTTTTCCGCGGTACTTCCGCGTCAATTATTGTTCGCGAACGCGTGTTTAGGGCCCAGGTATGCCTATTGTATTCACCACTTGTTACACGGTACTCCATGGGCGTTCTCACGTGGTACCATACCGCGGATACGCCGATACTTGAAACTGTAGCAATAGCTTTCGCTTCGTCAGCGACATGCACGTGGGCTAAAACGGCTCGATTCTTGTCGAAGCATCGCATCGGCGGGACAGGAAACCGGCGCTTTATTCATACGACAGGCACGTATAAGTGCGACATGTACGTCCACGAGGAAGAAGCCGCTCGCGACTCTCGTAACGCGTGACTCTTGTCAAAAACGTTACGAGAAGGGACGGGGCTCTTCGCGTAATGCCTGAATAGACAATTGAATCAGGAAGCGATTAGATTTGATATTCTTTCGCGCTGGACAAGCGTAGCAACTCGATCGCGGCCTGTTTAGTGCCCCGGAATAGTCCCTTCATTATTCAGAGTCGTTTTTCCTATTTCCTTTTACTGAGGCTTCTCTCGACGGAGGGATAATGTATCTCGAGAGACCGGGGTACCTACAGCAAGAAGATCATGACGTTTTTGACGGATCATTAAAAATATACGGTATATATATAATGTATCCTTTGGCGGTGCGGGGTTTTTCAATTCGTTATGCAACATAAAATTGTTGTATATGAGTAGCTCATTCTGAAAATTATGCACGGAAAGAACGATTTTGTTGAAAGGTCTAAAAATTTTGCTGAATACAGATCTGAAAATAACTTTTTTGTTGAATCATCAAAATAATTTGTTGAAATGTTAACACTGATAAGCATTGCTATATAAAACGTTTTGATATTCTAGCATTTTGACTTTCGCTGCGCAAAATTATTTTATTTATTGAAAATTATTTTCAGATCGGGATCCAGCAAAATCGTTCTTTACGCAATGCAACTTTAAAAACAATTTCAGCTTCGACGATATGCGAATAATATCTTTAACAGTTCGATCTCTAATATCTAACAACGATGTCTAACAAGTTCCGCAAGATATCCGGACTTGTATATTTGCATTGTGTCTTGTTGTTCCGCCAAAACAACATATGGAACAATTGCAAATGTACACAATACATAAATGCTTACGCATGTATACTTATGTATATATGTATGTAACAACCGTTATTTGCCCGCTCGCAAACATCAAGCGAGAAAGTAGACGCCGTGATTTTCTCGATCGTGAAATATATCACCCTCCATCCAATCCTCCATTACCACGCCCGCGCGTTCCTAATTAATCAGCGACTACGTTTGTCGACGTGCCCCAGCCGGCCAAAGACAAAGGGGCCGCGGCGCCATTAATCTCTCGGTATCGTTATCGGCGATCGCGAATTTGCGCGCAGGCCGCGCGGCCGCCACCGCCGCCGCCGCGCCGCCGCGGAGGGATGTAACGGATACGATTCCGTGCGGCGCGGCGCGGCGCGGCGCGCACTCGCGCGCGCGCGGGCGTATAGCTTTGTAAATTACTTCGCTGACCGTGTAATTCGATGCGGCGAGAATCGAGAAAGGGGAGACCGGCGGTCAGTGGGAGAGACACGGCGTGGGTGTGCGTATATGACGTCGGCCATGTTGAGGAGACACAGCGGGATATCCGCCGCGCCCACAGCTGGGCTCCGCAGTGCGACGTCAAGAGTTACCTCTCGCTCGGCCCACGTTTTATATACGCAGCGCAGCGCCGTGCTGATGCGATGCACGATGCACTGCACGCTCGCCCATGGGCCTCTATATCGACGCCCTCGATTTCTATTCGATTTACATCGGCGGGTTGGACCGGAGTCCCGAAAAAAGACTCGCGGCCCGCATACGGAACCGTCCCGACGACCGAAGCGATCTCCGTCGACGACGGTCGGCTATTGTGGCACGACCTCGTGCTTCTCTGCGGGGCGAAAAATTTATATTCAATTTATATTCAAAACGAAACGGGTGAGCTGATGATATATGAAGCAATAGTTGTCACGTGTCTTCGGCGCTAGATTAAAAGTTTCGCGATCTTATTACACGGGTCGATATAAACCCTGCAGTGCAAAAGTCGAAATCGCTGCGTCAGTAATTATGTAATTTCTAAGAATAGCTGAATGTATGTACCGTTTGATCGAAAATGGTTGATATCTTGAAATTCCGAGGGGTACGAACGCGGGTGCCGGTGGGACGATTCGATCGGAGAAACCATGGTGAGACCAAGCCGGCGCAAAACGACGACGCAGAGGCAGAAGATGTATCTGAGGATCAGTAATTACACGAGGCGGGCTCGTAATGGTCGACCACTGTTTATCTAGCATCGCCCGTCTCTCCGATTGAATCGGATGTGTCGCGGATAGGTTTCGCGAGGCCGCGATGGCGAAACGGCTACGATACACCGAGCACCAAACGTATCTCCGTGAGTTATCTCGGAAAAAGCGATTGTTTTTGTGTACGGCCATAACAGGTGCAACGCTCCCGTTATTTCCGCGATTCTTACCGCAAAGACGAATCTTGGCTCTGCCAGCAGCTATCGCTGCGCGTATCGAGTAATTACAGCCGGGCATCGATACGTTCGACTCTCTGTAACTGTAAATGTAATTGCAGCTCGCGAAGTCCAAAAAGATCAAGTCTGACTTTTTGTTTCTCAACTTCGGGCGAACAATAAGTAGAGCTTGGCAGTGTTTCGCGGTGATTGTATCACCTCGGAAACCATTGCAATTAAAAGCAAAATAAATTGTCAAAATAAAGGTAATTAGGCATGTCCAAGAATACAATTCGTTCTGTAATGGTATTCGGTTAATTGTCGTACTGTGCAACGATTAAGAGAGCGATCGTAAAAAGTATGACCGTCGAATTGGCGTAATGAGAGACACAATGGTCTATATCCGCGCAGACGACTCTTGACAGTGTTTTCTTCGTCAAGCAAAATCACTGTCGTCGAAACATGACAATGCAGCTTTCTAGTTTTCGTGCGAGTCGGTGCACTTGTCCTAATTCACCGCTTCTCTCCTAAAAACCGTTCAAGCATATTAACGTTAATTGTCCTTTTATTTTTCTTTCAATTGTGCAGGTTAAACAGTTCCTCCTACTTTTCGCTTATTTCTCTATTTAAACTATTTTCATTTAATTTAAATGTTTCTTGTATCGCTAGAATATGAATATTATCAAAAAAATACATGGTTATTTTAATTATAA